AGGGAGAGCTGGCAGCTTGGCTAGAATGTGGATGTCTGGAAGAGTATTCTGGGCATAGGGGATGCTAAATTTTTGTGCAGTAAGAAGTTTGGACTAAGTAAAAAACTGGGTGAGCCTGACCCCGATGGTGACATCTTGATGCCGAAAGCTGAGCAGGTGTGGGAAGATAGAAACAGAAGTCAAACGAGGAAATAGCACTCGCAGGAGTCACATAATTGGCCCAAGACCACACAGTAAGTTAAGAGGAGAGCTAGGACTAGACCACAGGTGTCCTACTTTCACACTTTTACCTCTGTCGTAAGTAAATGCAATATGGTATAGCTGAAATAACTATCCTGTGAGAAGGCATGAGTGCTTCTTTTAGGGCTCCGATTATAATCTGTATTGGTACGTCCAGATTAAATTAAATTTGTGGAACCGTGGAGAGGTTTGCAAATAGAGAGGTTTTGTTGGGAGAAGACCTACTTGATTTTGTAATGTAAGGACACAAGTTTTCCACCCTGGCTGCATATCAAAATTACCTGAGGTGCTTTTAAAAGTTTAAATGATGCCAGAGGAGCCCAGCTCTCAGTAAATTCAGATTTAATTGACCTGGGGTAGAGCCCAAAGAGCAACTGGCAGAGAGAGCATTATACATTCCCACAATTCTCTGCTATCTGCAATAAAAGGGCACATTCTGGATAACAGTGACTCTTATTTCTGCCACTGATTAACGTGTGCCCTCACGTAATCTCTTTGCTTTGATTTCTTTATCTGTGAAACACATGCCTTTACTTCTTATGGGATTATCGTGAGGATCAAAAGATAATATAATGTAAACTAAAGCATGATCAACACCATAAAGAACTCTGCAGATGTTCTGTAATAAGGTCCCTGGGTCTGATCCCTGTGAATGGGATCCAACTTTAGTGATAATGTGTTGTGTGCAAAAGCATCTAATGAAAATTCTAGCTAGTTTCTACAAAATCCGTAACAATGAAAATAATCTCAGAATCAGGTCTCTTTCTTTCTTTCTTTTTCTTTTTTAAATACTCTTGGAAACCACACTTCCACTAATAATAATGTAGGAAAAGCTGGCCAAATGTAAAATGCTACTTCTGAATATGAATACCAAAGAAAAGCTGTTCTTTCCTTAGTTGGTCATTGCCCCATGTGTAACCGCAAAACACATGAAGTTAAAAGGTGAAGCCTGAGATGATTAGATTTTATTTTAAATTCTTTTAAATATAAATTTGAGATATAAAAAGCATGCTCAAACCTTCTGCTTGGGTGATGTAGAAATCAAAGCACCCTGTTTCTGCATTCAGGGCTGGACCTGGGCTGGTTTTGTAGAAGGTAATCATAGTGAGTGGCTCTTCAATATGGTGCTGCCTCAGAGGTAATTAGAGTTTTTGTTTTAAAGCAGTTTTGGGGACTCCCCTCCATTTATGGAGTGAGATCGTCCTTGAGAAGAGGCTATGCACTCATGGCTTTAACAGGTTGCCCTGGTGATTCTCAAGCTGCTTGTCCACCACTGACCAGAGGGGGCGCTGTGCGTGGGAACCGAAGATGTAGCTCAGGGCTTCTCAAGCATTCCCGTGCAGAGGATCACTTGGAGCTCTTATTAAAATGCAAGTCCTGACTCAGTAGGCGCTACGTGGGGTCTGACACTCTGCCTTTTAATCAAATATCCAGGCGGGACAGATGCTGCTAGTCCACGGACCACCCTTTAAGTAGCAAGGATCTTGGAGACATATAAAAGGACGTACGGACAAAAGCCTCCCCTGAAGAATGAATGATTCTTGAGGATTTCATAACCCAGCAGTTTTAGTATATTAGGAGGAAGAATCTCAAAGTTCCTCTGTTCTATGCTTATTTCATGAGAGCTTGGTTAAAGGTCATGAACTCTTGGTGCCAAAATGACCCTGGAGTTGGCAGAAAGCAAAATGAATATCCTGGACCTCAATAATCTCTGTTTCTAACATGAAGGAGTACCAAGGACAACCGTAGTCCATCAGAGTCATTTCTATTTTTTGGTGCTTTTGTCGACATTTAATGGTAAAATCTATGCAACAACATCACATCTGAATTCACATATGTAGAGCAAGAAATGACAAAGGTGCCACACACAGTGATTGGTAGAGTGCTGGAAATACCTGCTGACGGAAATGCTTTTCAAAACAGATTAATTGCTGCTCATTTCTCTGTTACCCTACGAAGGCCTGACACCGCACGGCTTTTGAAATAGGACAGGCAGCATCCCTTACAATGGATTTCGTGCCATTACTCGGTACCCCACTGATATAATAAAAGGCTGACTCATTTCCTTTCCTCTGCATGATCTGTGACAGTTGAAACTGGGATGCCATATGCTGGGTCTAAAATGCTCAGTGTGTCCAGTAGCTCATGGTGATTCTGCCAGCTCTAAGGTGATACACAGCCCGGAAACGCAGGGAGAGAATCACTGCTGTATAGTGTGCATTGGAGGCTTTTGAGTCATTGGGGTAGATTTCATCAGATAACCATTGTCTTTAACGCCCCAAATTGATGGATGTCTGAGATGCTCTCTTACAACCTTGAAGATCTTCTTTGTTGTTCTCTCGACAATTTCCTTGCCGTGCCTGTCTTGCTCGCACAGTGTTACTGTGCCCAGAGTTTCTAATAAAGCCCATAATAAGAATATTTATTTCCTTGTCTTTCACCATCAAGATTGTCAGGAATGACAGCACAGCTCAAGGAGCTGGATTTCAGAGCTGCTGACTGCTGCCAGCAGAGACAAGCACATTTCGGTAGACGTCCACGGAAATTTTTAATATATCTCTCTGTGGGAAGGCGAAAGTAGTCAGGTGCTTCATTGTGTAGCAGCACGGCATCACTTCATGTGTTTTGCCTTTCCTAAAGATACCATTAGATGAGAGAGTAGTGGCACTTTTTCTTAATGTACCTGCAAGATTCATTTTTAGGGTTGCTGCCATGTTATGAAAGCTTAATGCTGTGAGCATGGCCTGCAGAAGATATTCGCGAAATCTTCCATTTTTATTTTGATCGGATTTCATATTGAGAGAAGTGTTACTCTGAGTGAACTTCACCTGAATCTAAATATATGTCCACAGTTACATGGTTTCATTTTTGATAAATGAGATGCTTGGCTTTTATTTAGTTATAATTGTGTAAATGATAGGACTAAAAGGGATCTGAAAGATTGCTTTTAATCTCTTCACTTTACAGATAAGTATAATGAGGCGTAAAGAATGTGAAGATGTTTACCCAATATCAAATAATGATTTGACACAGAACCAGGACCAGAACTCGTATCTTGGACACCAAATTTAGTGCTTCTGATACTAACTTGAAGGCAAAATGCAAGTCCTAAAGAATAATCCCATTTTCCATACACAAACCCCTGAAATTGAACCTAGATTTTCTGCCAGTCTTCAAAAACCAGAAACCCTAACAATTTCATGTCCTTGATCCAGAGTGGAAGGACACCTGTCTCTTGCACCCTGCCTTTATTTGCAGTGTGCTTGAAGTGCAAGCCTTTTAGCTATTCTGCTAATTGTGATGTTCTGCTGGAAATGCTGGCTAGAGCATTAGATAAGAAAGGAAAAGTTACAACTTTTGAATATAGGACAAAAATTAAAAAGGGTTTTGCAAATTCTAGGTTAAAAAGTTTGCTCTTTTAATCATGTGTAAAGCCAAATAGAAAATTAAGGCAATAATAAGAATAGTAGATACTAAACTAAACTTCAGCCCGAATTTCCAGGTGTAGAGTTTGTCAATCTTGTCATTGCAGACCCTAGTGAGATCCTAATAAATATTACTATTTATTAAACCTCCACACCATTGAACCCTCCACGTGCATTTATATTTGGCCTTTAGTCCTCATTGGTCCTTTTAGCAGACACTTCAAGTTGCCTACACAACATCTCTCCATATTCTCCCTTATTAACAGAATTATGACATTTTCCAGGGCATGATGCATCTGCATAAAATGTTTGATTTTTAGTCTCCTTTCCCACTGCCGGTGATCAAGGAAATGTAGGCAAAGTCCTCGGCAAAGCAAGCTTTCCATAATAAAAGCATATTGAAAAGGAGAAAAACTTTTGCCTTTTGTCCTTGTTTCTTCCCATTTCATCCTGTTTGGAATGCAGACTTCATGCCTCAGCCATTCCACATGAAAAAGGACTTCAGAGAAGGAAAGGAGAAATGGCTTGAGTGCTAAGACATCATCAAGAAGCCGTGCTAGCTCTAGACTGCATGTCTTTGGAAATCTTAACGTGTGAGAAAAACAAACTCTCACCTATTTAAGCCAGTGGTCACTGGGTTTTCAGTTATTTGCAGTCAAATGCATTCCTAACTGATCTAGTTGTTATGAGTTTCCACAAAGTGATCTTGGATTCTATGGTCAAGGGACTTTTGTTCTTGGTCTGATCCTATGATATTGTGATTAATAAGAAATATATATTTGGTGTTCATCCCGTTTCTGGCATAGAACTCTTAAAACCCTTGCAATTTCCTGAGTGACAGGGGTGAGAGGAACATCTTTTGTTTTTCATCCTAGGTCCCTTTCAAACATACCGTGTTTCCCTGAAAATAAGACCTACCCATAAAATAAGCCCTAGTAGGATTTCTAAGCATTTGTGTAATGGAAGCCCTACCACGAAAATAAGACCTAGTGATAGGCGTGGGTATGCAGCATATCCGCACGATCCATGCATTTGGTCGCGGAGCGGTAAAGAAGACAAGCAGCCCTTCTCATCTGCCCCATGAAAGCTTTACTGCTCGACATGAGAGATTGGTTCTAAAGGAAACTAATGGTTCTAAAGGAAATAGAGTCCCAAGAAATTCAGGATGGAATTCGGGGTTTGGAGAGTGATGATGATGTTCCAGAAGATGACGACTTAACTAGATTTGAATAAATGTAGACTGTTGTACCATACTTTAAAAAAATAACACATCCCCTGAAAATAAGCCCTAGGGTGTCTTCTTAAGGAAAAACAAGTATAAGACCCTGTCTTATTTTCAGGGAAACACAGTACCTGAGTTTATGCTAATGAGTAGACTCTTGGTGGGTCCCTAGAGAGCTCCAGGATGGGAACCAGGTGCTAAAGGAGCCAACTATGTGATTGGAGGGTTGGAAATTTCAGCTGCCACTTCTCCCACTGTACCCCCGATCCCTGGCCTCTGGGGAGGGGAGCGGGGCTGGAAATTGAGTACATTGGTGACAATGGCCAAAGATTCAATCCATCATGCCTACATAGTGGAATCTCCATAAAAACCCTAAATGAGAGGGTTTGGACAGCTCCTGGGTTGATGAGCTTATCCATGTGCTGGGAGGGTCCACGGGGATAGAAACTCCTGTGCTCAGAACCCTTCCAGACCTCTCCCTATGTAAGTCTTTATCTGGCTGATCATATGCGCCCTTTGTAATAAGCCGGTATGGTCAGTACACTGGTTCCCCTGAGTTCTGGGAGCCATTCTGACAAATTGTGGAACCCAAGGAGGGGGTTGTGGGACCTCGAGGGTTATAGCCAGTTGGGCAGAAGTACAGGAGGCCAGGGACTTGTGACTGGCATCTGAAGTGGAGGCTGAGTGTGGGGCTGAGCCTCCACCCATGTGAGGTCTGACACTAACGCTGAGGTAGTTAGTTCCAGGGTGGAACTGAATCACTGGACAGCCAGCTGGTGACCAGAGGGTTGCGAAATTGGTTGTTGGTGTGGGAAAAAAACCCATATCGTTGGCATCAAAAGTACTGTGAGTAGCAGCAACAGCTCACAGGCCATTCCCAGACCAACACTGAGATGAGATCTTGAAGCTGGACCATCTTTTTCAACCCAACCAAGTTGGAAGTGCTGGTGGCTTAAGCTACAAAGCTTTCCCAAGCAACAGGATTCCGATTTTGATGGACTCAGGTGTCTTTCCCCTTGTGCCAGGGAGACAGCAGTGGGTTGGAACATTTGCACAACTGGATATTTTCCTGTCCTAATTACGGGAGGCATTCGCAATGGTTCTCACACATAGAAGGATTTTGGGAATCTCTATAAAGGACACTGCCTGCTCAGCTGGTGTCAAGGAGAACATGGAGCAAGAAAAACAGCAGTCGGTGAAGAGTGCATGTGGGCGCATTTATAGATACCTCCAGAATGAGGTGGTGGGCCGCAGAGCAGTACCATTCCCTGACCTCGACGGACAGACACGGTGCTCCTCGTTCTCGTTTTAAAGTTTTCAAGATCTGTTGGGAGAAATAAAGGAAAAAGCATTTAAACTTTAAAGTCCTAAAATACCATGGGAGAGTATCACTGTTCCAAAAGACAATAGTTCTTCTGCCGAAAAGAGCCTTGGTAGCGCCTGTACTGGGGAAATTCAGTTTAGCTTCCTTCCACGTGCTATTGCCCCATGCTCCTTGATTCTCTAGCTATGTTGGCCATTAAAATGGCCACTTGCCGCATGTGCCTGCTTACATTTTAAATAATTAAAACTAAATACAACTTAAAATTCAGTGCCCCAAGACACACCAGTCACATTCCAAGTGCTCAATGGCCGCACCCGGTCAGTGGTTACCATATTGGACAGCACAGACATAGAATATTTCCATCATTCCAGAAAATTCTATTGGACAGGGCGGGTCTAGGTGAAGAAACTGAGGTTTAAAGATGTTAAGCAACCCATCTAAGACCTCTCTGTAATTAAATATCATTACTGGGAAGCAAACTCATGCTTTCTGATAATTCTGTTCACTTCCCCCATGAGAAAGCAGTTTTCCACACCAATGGCACGGTCAATGAGAAAGGCAACTATACAGAGAAAACTTGCAGTTGAACTAATATGAAATCCATTTGCTAATTGTTGGGGGTTGGAATAAAGCTTTAAAATTATACAGTGAAAAAAAAATTCTATTATCTGCAATTATACTTCTCTCTCCATATATACCTAGCATAGGACTCTCACTTTCTCTCTCTGCACACACACACACACACACACACACACACACACACACACTACTACATACAACATATTAGTAGACATATATATGGGCACATAATTTTTTTTTTTCAAGTACCGTAATTTTATTAGCCCTTGTTTTTTTTTTTTAATTTTTTTTTTATTTTGGCATATTATGGGGGTACAGATTTTAAGGTTTCAATAAATGCCCATTTCCCCCCCAATAATTTTTTTAATGTTGTGTATTTTTAAATATTTAGAAGTTACTGTTCATGGTTTCTTTTGGAAGAAAGTTTTACTCCTTTAAGGAGGTCAAATCTGGTTAGAGAGATAAGACATTTATAGACCCGAAGATCACAGCTTAAGTCAGTAAATAAGCAGTTGCAAATAAAAATGAGTTAATATAAGAAATATGTCTAATAAAATGAGACATATTATTCTGCAAAAAATGTTTTTCCTCCTACCCTCCCAAATGTAAATCCTCTCACTACAGCGAGTGTTAAGTGCCATTTTATTTTTTTGTTGTCTACAATATTTGATTTAATAACGTCTTATTGGATTTGAGGGCTATTCCAACTCAAGTATGCCGGGCAGGGTTGCAAGCCATCTGGCTGTGCACACTGGAGTACAGTAATGTTTACTGATGACTTCCTCCATGCTGACCACTTTGCTAAGTATTTGAGGATGATTATCTCATGTGACCCCAACAACAATCAGGAAGGCTGCAGTTACTAATAGGAATGTTTCCACACTCAGGCTTGCTTAGTTTCAGGGAGAGCTCAGGATAATAAAAAAAAATTATACACATACATATGTCTTAATGACCAGATTCTTCTGGAATTAGGAAACTTTTAAGTTTTTACATTATTGTCTTCATCACATAAGTATTTATAAAAATTCCATTAAGTACCGTTTGATTGGCAGCTCAGGATGCAGGCATTGTGAGAACACAGCATCTGCCCAGTAGGGACTCAAGAGGTTAGCAGGCAGGTCTGACACTTCACACCTAATCACAGCAACCTAAAGACTGCTAGAATTGAGGCGTGAAAAGGGCACATGAAGGACACACACATACTCAGCACAAAACAAATCAGTGCTATAATTTGAATTACACTTCTGATGTGATAAACTTCTTTTTATTAAATGGGCACCAGGTGAAGGTAGACCATGATATTTTTCTGTTTAAGGACATGGTTTGAGATTTCTTCAAAAGGAATTAAACTACAGATTTTTAAAAACTTTATTATGGGGTTAATATTTTAAAGCATCATCCCTAAAAGTGACACTGAGTCAGTCTAAACGGTAACTTCTGTATACAAGTTCTTAGAGCAAGTCATCTACGTTTTTGTATAGCTATCCCATTTGATTTCCAGAGTTTCATGAAAAATTAAGAGCTGAGAGATAATAAAGATCAGATCTCATCTAGGCAAAGACAATCATAGTTTCTGTCTAGAGAAATAGTACTAAGAAATGAGAAAGAAAATGGGAAATACGTACAATGATTTTTGACTGTCCTTTCTGAGCTTAAAAAACTAGATTCCTGTTTTTTCCTTTTTAGTTTATGAATTCATTCAGTTCTATAAGATTTGTGCAAAGTATATCACATCAATCTGGTATCTGAGAAAATACTTAAAAATACTTCTCAGTAGTTAACTGATATAGATTCTACATGGTGAACCCCACCTCCACAATGAATGGAAATACTGTATTTAGGTAGACCTGAGTTTGAAAACCATCTCTGCCACCTATTATCTATGTTGACCTTGGACAAGTCTTAATTTTCACATAAGTAATATGAAAAGAAATGTGCTTTTCTTTAAAACAATCCTGTGCAAAGATTAAACGAGATAATCTTTGAAAAGCCATCAGGGCAAGCACATGGCCTTTCATGCTGCAGGGTTGGTGCTTAACATGTGTTCATTCTGTCCACTGGGGCAGTGGTCCCCAACGTTTTTTATTTTATTTCAGAGTATTATGGGGGGACAAATGTTTTGATTACATAAATTGCTTTTGTACAATTTGAGTCAATGTTAGGAGTGGGCCCATCACCCAGATTGTGAGTTGGGTGCGAATTTTCTCATCCTCTCCTCCCCCTTTCCCCCTACTTAATTTCCGATGAGTTTTATTTCCACGTGTGCATGTAAGTGTTGTTGGATTAGTTCAGATTTAATGGTGAGTACGTGTGGTGTTTGTTTTTGACACCACGAATTGGTTTCAGGGAAGGCAGTTTTTCTATGGATGGCAGGGGGCAGGAGGGCTGGGGCGGTGAGGCAAGCTAGATTTCGAGAGATTTCGTTTGCCTGCCAACTGCCTCCTGCTGTGCGGCCCAGTTCCTAGCGGGCCAGGGCCAGGGGGTTTGGGGACCACAGCACTAGGGAATGCTGTGATCCAGTGGCAAATCATACCCCCACAACTCCATTTACGGAAGGGTTCCAAATACCAAACACACGCTAGAGTGTGCTGTAGATGCTAATCAAAGGACATGATATTTATGCACACATTTAGGGAAAGATTACATGTCCAAAATCAGCCTTTTCAGATTAACTATCCAGATCCTAAATGCTAGCCACATGGTAATTTTCAACTCAAAGAACTATGTGTCTGAATGGGTAATTTTTGAAGCTTGTACACTCATGGCTAAGTCTTTGCTGTAAATGTTTTTGGTGGTGAAAGAAGCAGAGAGAGAGAGAGAGAAAGAGAGAGAGAGAGAGAGAGAGAGTAGGGCCAAACAATGCGGCTTTATTGAGCGTTCTTGGGCGAGGTTCGTGGATCCCAAGGGGGGGGCCCGAGAAGTCTGGCCCATCTGAAAGGGGGGGAGGCTTTTATACCCTTTTAAGTGGGCTGAGGACTTTTGGTGGGAAGAGGTGGGGTTTTTTTCCACTGTGACCTTTGGTGGTCATTGAGAAATAGGAGGGGTTGGCGGTATTTGCAGAATCCAGGACCCAAAACTTTCTTATCCGGGTGGACATCTAGGTGTGGTTGTTCTCAGCGGGGCCTGGCAGTTGTCCTTGGCGGGTCTGGCCTCGTGAGCCTTTTCTTTTGTGATCTAGGGAGGGGAGGGGGGCCAGCCACCAGCCTTACATTTGCCAGCAACATTCCCACATATATAATTTTATTTAGAATCATTTTCTCTCTAAAGCCTTGGTACTGGGGTAATGATCAGTAGCTGCAGGCACTATGAGACAATTAGAATACATTATGTATAATGCTTTCTCCCCGTGACCATCACACTGATAGCTACAATACGACCTACTTGCAAAATGTATTGAGGTCATACCATGTGCTAAGTACTTTTCTCACATGATCTCATTTAATTCCATTACAGTTTAAATTCCCGATGTACAGGCGATACAGCTGAAGCTCAGAGAGGTTCAGCACCTTCTTCACGCACCTATTAATAGAAAGTGGCCAGAACAAAGATACAAACTCCTGTTTTGTCTCTCTCCAAAGTCCCTGCTCGAAGCACCAGAATGTATGGCTTCCCCACTGATTTAGTTAAGCCAGTGAAAAAGAGCATTCAAACCTGTTACTTGACATCTGAGCGACAACAACAAAAAATTCATTTAAATGAGTTTTACACTCAGTGAATATGTAAGAAAACCCGCATTTCAATGCACAATGTGATGATGGGTTGGTACGCCGGTTCCAAAGCATCTATTCCTTTGCTTTTCTTTGTGGATGAGCACTCGATGTGGGGATTTTAAACATTAGGTGCAAAGAATGAAGTTGATCAAAAAGAAAATAATCAGAAATAAGTCTATTAACAGGCAGGATTGCAGACTTGTTAGAAAGATACATAAATAATTCCACTTGGCTTGTATTCCCTTTAGTTCATGCATTTGGTTACTAAAGACATGGTTGAATAAATGATGTATATGTGCAACAAGGAATTAATATCTATGTACTGTGGTCTCTCAAAACAGCTTCTTTTTCCAGTTTTGTTTACAGTGTATTAACATGTGATGTGTAGACTGTAAAAAATAAACAGCTCTAGATTTTTGTGTTGATTTCATTCGTCAGAATTTTACATAACTTTTCCCATCAGTCATGTGCCAAGCAATGCACAAATTTGTGGCAGATGTGTTTTCATATTGTAGTTTTCCATGAAAACAACTGTCCTTTATTCTGCTATGGAATATAATATCTTCCTTTTTGGTTTCAAATGAGATTAGAAAATACATTACAGTATTTGGAAAGTGTTATCTCATTGAGAGTGGAGAAGAAGTGATTCAGCTGTTAAATTTCTGGAGATATGAAACTGTACACAGGTCTTAAAGTTGCAATATGCTA